CCCCACTCCTTCCCCCACCCCCATGCTGCACAAAAAAAGTCAGCATCAACCTTATCATAATGCCATACAATAAGCAAAACAAACAGTGGGATACAGACCCTGAAATCAGATTTCTTGAGCCCCAACTAAATATAATAAGGGGACCACATGCTGTAAAGGTGTAGTGTGACTAAAAAAAAAATCCTACAAGGAATTTTTTTACTGCTGTTTTTTACTATAAAAGGGCAGCAAAATGCTGACTGTAAGGAGGAGACAGTGTCAAGGAGAAAAGGGTATTGGTATTTTGGATCCTCTTGACTGCCTGCCTTGGAGAGAGAGAGAGAATTATTCTTGTCACAGACCCCTTTGTCTGCATCTGCTGACTGCTTGCCCATAGCCAGCAGCGTGCTTTAACCGTTTTGTCACCTCCGCCCATCAGACGGATCAGCTGTTGTGCTTTTGTGGCGGGTATTGTCGAGGCTAATCTGCCACGGACGCTCTGCTGCGTGGTAAATACGGCCAAATCGCATCGCGGGACAATTCTTCATAAATATTTCATACGGATCTCGCACAACTCTCCCTGTCCCGTACTGAAAATCCAAAAAAAAACATACACACATCACCCACACACACACACACGAAACTGGTTTTAAAGGATTCACACTAAGGATCCTGAGAAGATGCATACAATTAGCTCTAATTGTCCTTAATGAGACACATTTAACGTCACAGAGGTCTGCTAGCTAGTTCTTTTTTTTCCTCATTTTTAAACATCGGTCATGTTTTCCCATTTGATCAAAACTGCATCATTAGAATATTAAAACTTCAGTTTGAGAAAACGGCTTTCAAATAGCCTTTGAAGTGATCCCATTTTGGATAGCGATACCCGCAGGCCTTGTTCTAAGGATCAAAAGAAGGTGTATAATAAAATCTGAATGTTTGTTTTTTTTTTTTTTAGTTTTTATTCAGGTTGGTCAGTTACATACTTTGGAAGGTGACATTTAGGCTCCTGTAACCAGAAACAATTGCTTATTAATGGGGAGAGGAGTGAAAAGAAAAGGAAAAAAAAAATTGAATATTCTCTTACTAGAAGGGTATTCGCAATTAGACAGCGAGCATGAATGGGGTCCGCTTTGCATTTTGTTTTTGTTGTCCTCTTGCGTTTGGTCTCTTTGGTATTGTTCTGTGCCCTGTTTTTTGGACTTGCCAGGGCTGGGATGTGGAGGGTGGTGATGGTGTGTGTGTGTGTGTGGGGGGGGTGCTGCTTATGAAAAGGGATATTATACAGCTGAGAGACAAAAGGGAGAGGTAGGGAGAGGGGAAGCGCTTCGGCGACAG